TTTTTGTGTTTCCTTTAGTGCAGCTGCTGCTGCTGCTGTGTGTGTGTGTGTGTGTGTGTGTGTGTGTGTGTGTGTGAGTGGAGTCGGTGTTGGGGCACCAGATTCTAAAACCTTTGTGCACGGGCTCTTCAGTGTTTCACACCATGGTACAACTAAAAACAAACAGGTTAGATAGACTACAGTGAAAATATAGGGCCCAAAGTCCAGCCTCGGTGCCACTCTGACTGTCCCTGAAGGGCCCAGCCCAAGTCCAGACCTAACCCCCAGAGAACATCTGAGGAGAGACCTGAAGCGTTCGCAGACATTTCCCATCCAGTCTGACAGATCCTCAGAGGATCTGCAGGAAGAACGGGATCGACTGGCCAAATTCAGGTGTGCACAGCTGGTAGAGACTCAGCCGAGAAGCCTGGAGATGCTGCCTTCTGCTGATGTTGGATTAAGGTTCTGAGCTGTTGTAAATGGGAGATTTTAGTTTTTGGTTTTGAATAAATTTGCACAAATTTCTAAAAAGTTTTATTGTCACTATTGAGTGTAGATTAATACAATGTACACTATATTCATTTAAAATAGTATACAACACAAAGTATGCAGAAAGTGAAGGAGTCTGTATGCTTTCTGCATAGCACTGTACAAATATATCTCTGCTCTTATATAGTTCTATGTTTATATCCAGGAAGTCTGTTCCTCTCTGGTGTGAGTTTTTGCATTAAACCTGATCCTTAGTTGCATTGACACCATTTTCCATAGGGTTAAATCTTCCCACTAGGTGTCAGCGTTGTCAAGGTATTTAAATGTCTGTTGTCACAGATGGACAGGTCAGAATTAAAAGCAGATGTCCATAAAAATGAGAAGAGGCAACTACGACCAAATATCCAAACTATTTACCACATAATTCTGTGGTGGGATGAAGGTAACGGCTAACACGCCCGACTGACACCATGTGAGTTGGAGACAAAAGACTCATGTAGTATTCAGGACCTTTTATGCTTTGTTTCTTAGATCAAGTAAGCTGTAGATTTAATCCGTGTTGCAAATAAATTAGTATTTAACCTTTTCATGTCAATGGAACCGTGAGACAGTGTCCACACACATCAGTTTCTGCCTTTTTGTGGTTGTTTAGCATCTGTTTGTAGCCATTTCCCACCTTTCTAAAACGTGTTTTGTGCCCATTTTCAGTTGCTTTGCATCTCTTTGTAGTTTTGGTGTGGTCCTTTTTGATGTTCTGCGTGTCTTGGTAGACGATTTGCTGTCTTTTCTTTTGTTTTCTGTCTCCTTTTCATGAATTGTAAGTTTTTGTAGTTGCAATTCATCCATTTTTCCTCATTCTGTGGCTTTTTGTAGTCATTTGGAAAGGTTGACTTCCCTTAACTGTTCTCCGGTGGAGGGGCCCCTGACCCCATGGGGCACTGGGCCCGCTCCGATAGGCCCGCTCAGCGATCCATCCACGATGACGCCCCTGTTTGCATCGCTGTGGCAGGAAGCGGAAATAAGCGTCGCTATCCGTATGCTAGTAGCTACATTTAGGCTTCGAGGACGGGGTGGAAGCGACGGCAGACACATCGTTTGTTGCTTCTGAAGAGGAAACGGGGAGTGGACAGTGGCACGATAGGGGTTTGTTTGTTACATAGACAGTGTCGACACGGAATATCTCGAGTGGTGAGTTTTCCTGACGCTTTACTATTTATCTAAAAGTTGTGTACGGTTCCCGTTCACGACGCAGGCTAGTCCAACTCAGTAACATTAGCTGTGCTAACGGAGCTAGCAACAACAGCTAACGTTATGAAAAAGGCAGGTTTTCTTCCTTTTCACGTTTCCCCAACGTGAAGCTAACCGCTAGGCCTCGGGTTATGCTACGAATCTCACGTTGATGTAACACCGGGCTCGTGTTTAGGTAATGCCATGTTTAAATTTTCCGTTGTAGGAAATTAAACGGGTTAAGTTTGATACCCGTCCTGCCTCGCAGTTATTGTTATTCGACCGTTAGCCGGCATGCTAGTTCCAGTTTTCCAGAACAGTGGGCGCAGTCTGTTTGCCGGAATCGAACCACTTCATCTCCTGTGAAAACGGTAAAGCCGCGGTTTGATGCTCAAATAACACATTTGTAATTGTTGAAGTCTTACATTTGGCTCAAAAAGAATCGCGAGAAGGTGGTAAATTCTGGAAGATAACTGTCGCCGCGGCGTTTAGACTTCTGCTTCCTCTTTTATTAATAATTGGTGAGGCTACCGCTTGTCACTGGTGGATTGTTTGTTTGTTTGTTTGTTTTTAAGTGACAACACTGTGGTGGCCCTGGGTGGAGTTGTTGACAGTGGCTACAGGCACATTTTAGGCTCTGCTGTATCGTTTCCGTTTAATGATTTTTATAGAAGAGTGTAAAAAGTTAAAACCACAGTCGTGTCCGAACGTATTGTAATGACAAGGCCATTTCATTTGTTTGATCTACACTGAAGACATTTGGTTTTAACATCTAAAGAGGAATATGAGACGAAGATACAGAATCTCAGCTTTTATTTCTGCTTATTTACATCCAGATGTTTGAGAATATACCACCTTTTATATCAGATTAGCCAGGTTTTAATTGATTGGAGGTATTACACAGAATTGTGGCCTGTTGCTGGGGATGTTCTCGGGGTGATTCAGGAAAGGGACTCACTCTCACATCGTACTAAACAAAGTATTATGTATAGTTTTGAAACGGCACTAAAAAGTGCTACTTAAGAAGAAATGTTAAAAGAATCATTTTGGTGTGAAAGGTTACGCAGGTCGGAGCCTGTTTCTTTGTGATAAGTATTGTGAATGTGTATTTTGTAAACTGTAGCTACTGGGAGTCTAAACATATGAGCTGACCGTCCCTGACCAGGTATGGATCGCTGTGAACGTTTGATTTGACAGGGTTTGTTACTGGCGTTGTGGTGTGGATGGCTGTCAAATTGATTTGCCTTATTGCAGGCGGCGGTGTATTAGAGCTCTACAGTACCATGTTAACAAACAGCTTAATGGGATAACAGAGCTTAATCCGTTTAACTAAGCAACTGTAGGTCCAGCCAATAAATCAGTCAGCTCTGCTTATGCTGGCTCCTGACTTATCTCAGGTTCAGCATCTGTATCATCTGGTCTTCTGCTGAGTGCTGCCAAGAACAGACAGCTCTTCTTAACCCTGTTTACATGGGTTTGCCACTGGAGGTGAACTGCAGCACTTGTGTGCTATACTTTGGATATTTAAGATCTCAAGAGACAGACTATGATGCCTAAATCACAAAATACACCTATAAAAGCACAATTTATTAGTGTGGCTAAGTCTTTGTGCAAAAAACAAACTTGCAACACTATTAATCAGATTTTCTACTTTAAATGAGAACTTTGTGGTCTCAGAGTGACGTTACCATTTTGTTTCCATCAGACTATTTTAGCCTGACTGAGCATCTTGTTGGTTCCTTTTTCCAGGCACCTTACTGTGACCTTTATGTGAGGTCTCAGCCTTAAAGGAGCGGGTCATAGACGGGAGGAGAGACTCAGAGACGAGCATCTAGCTACAGAAGCCTGGATACGTGTTTTTGTTTTGTATTCACCCCCTGATACACACAACTACAGTCAAGAAGTTGCTGAACACACAACAGGGACCATGGAGGCCATCGCCAAGTATGATTTCAAAGCGACTGCGGATGATGAGCTTAGTTTCAAGCGTGGAGAAATACTCAAGGTAAGTGACAGCTGTTGGATTATTCACTGTTAGAGCTTGTCTGTATTAAGCCAGCACACACTGGAGGCCACGGGTGTAACTGACTTTTAATTTTAGTCGTAAGAGCGCACACACTAGATGTTTGAGTCAAGAGGCAGGACCACACACTTGCTGTTTAAACATGGCGGGGAGAAGTCAGGCTCTGAGCTGCTGGGTACTGCTACCCAGCAGCTCAGTCTAATTGTATGTAAACCCTCTGGATTGTTTGGGTCAAATTGGCCTTGAGTCAGGAACACACCAGCGATCATCTGGGGGGTTCTTGCTCTAGGTTTATTTCCTGTGTTTAAGTGAAAGCACCATCAGCTGTAACTCACGTTTCAGACGGTAAAAAACATCTAGAATTGAAACTGTCACCCAAAATGAAGCTACAGTGCTGGGTTTGTATCTTTCAGATGAACATTTTCTCTCTTTATATACTTGTTAAATGTAGACACACATATAAAGAGAATAAAATCTATTGGGGTATAATGTAAACTCCCCAACACGCTGTTGCACCCTGTGATGGCAGACATGGTCGTTACACGGGTCCCTAGATGCTGTCGCCAGTTGTATGATAGCAAAGTGTTGTACAGGGGCGATGCTAAGGTTACACACAGTGATGAGAAAGGGGCAGAACGTGTAGGGTTTTTGTTCCGTTATGAAGAGATCTCTGTAAATCCCCAGGCCGTGCACATCCTCAGGCAGCAGAAGCCCATTCAGAGCCTTCTGCTTTCTTTTTGCATGAAAAGCGTTCGTGCCATTCTCTGATAAAGTACACACTTCAATTTTCCTACACAGTGATTCTCTTTGGATTTAAATGCAGTCTCCATAATCCCTCTGGGAGGGTCACAGTCATGAAGGGAAGGGTGCAGAAACATGAGATACACCTTCACATTTCCTCTTTTCTCAGGAAAATGTGTGTAGCCTACCACTCAGTTAAAACATGCACTCAGTAATGCATGACTGTAAGGTCTCCTTTTTCTCCCCCTTTATTTTAAGTTCAGTCCCTATTTTACTGCAAAGTCCCTTCAGTATAGATTGTTGTCACTACTCTCCAGCTGCCCACTGTGTATCTGAAGGACCGCTCAGCGTGGCCTGCTTGGATTAGTGATTGACCAATTTAATCGGGTTGATATTTGGCTTTTTAAGATGGTCGGCATCAGCTGACGACTCTGTTTACCAGGCAGAAAAAATGTCTGCAGGTGTGGAGATTTTTTTTAATAGTAATGGGACTTTAGAGTGTAACAGACGGAGACTGTGCTCACTTTATGTTTTCAAATACTTTATTATTTTTGTAATTCATTTTTCCTAAATGTTTGGCAAATTTGTCTCATTAGTTATTGAATTGTTGTATTTTATCTGATGCCAAAAGAAGGAAATAAAACATCGGCCACTGAAAACCCACCACGGTCGACCACCAATCAATAGTATGTATGACCTGTGCTGAATGTAGAATTCAGTGCAAGAGTCCCAGCAACACTATAGCTAGTCATAATGGATTAACGGCAACCGGTGAACAGATGACTGTATTTTCCATTCATTTCACAGCTCCACCTGAAATGTGAATGGGAAATGCCACCGTTTCCTTTCTTTCATTAATTAATTAACACCACTGATGTGCCTGTGTTAATTAGAATGAAATTGAAAACATGAGCAGGAGTTCCAGTGGCTTCAGACCCCATCGGTTTGTTGTAAATCCTGGGGACACTAAGAGCTTTGGACGTGGTTTGATCCCCTGGTCCTGCCTGATCCGGACCTCACCACAGTCTGACTACAGAGAGCTGCTGGACTTCATGTCCTGGTTTGTGTCCTGACCTGCAGGGTGAACTGTGGGACCTTATACACACAGGTGTGTGTCTTTCTACACTGTGTCCAGTCAGACCAGTTTGTTGTTATTGGTTATTCAGTGTAGATCGATGGGCAAAAATGACAGTTTTGCCATTTAAAATGAGATCTACAGCACAATGTGTGTAAGGGTGACGGAGTCTGAATACCCTCTGGGGACCGCGTAGGGTCATTTCACGTAAATGACAAATTCTAAAACATTTTTCATTGTCCTTCAGATTGTTTCATCCTGTGACTGCAGCTCTAGTGCAGCGCTGTGACCGAGGTTTGACAAGAACTACACTGACGTGCCATACTGTTTTCTTTTTCAAATGATCTCATTTGTTTATACACAGCCCAACCTCAGCTGATCTATTCAGTAGTTGTCACTCTGTGTAGATTTAAACAAAGATGTGTATAGAAACATGCCCTTTATATTTGACTCAGCTAATGAGTCACATACTGTAGGTGCACCTTAACATTAAAAGCTTAAAAAAAAATGCTGAACGACAATGAAATAAGGAAGGAAAGCGTGTGTGAATGTTGCCTCTAGCACTGTCCATGTTTCATCTGAATCACGTTTTGGCTGCTGTGCCCATAGGACCAGTCCTCTGTTTGGGACCAGACTCCGCCCCTCTCCATTGCTTTCGTCCTGTTCTGTGCCTTTTCTCGGCGCTCTCAAGTCGGAGCGTTTCCCCTCGGATAATTTCTGAGAAACAGGATGGAACTAGCTTCTGTCTTTCACTGAAACACACAGTTCAAACCTCAGTTTAAATGGAGCTGCAGGGCTGCGCTATATCACGGCACAAATGGAAAAGTAGTGAGAAAACAAAATCTAGTTTTTGCTGCAGCATTTTGTATCGGAGCAGTTCAAGCCCGTCAGTTTGCCAGCCTACTGTCAGCTGTGTGCCCCTGCTGCCTTTGTGGTTGCAAAACTTTATTTGTTGCTATTTTTTTTCCTCCATATGTTACTTGCTTCAGAGAAACAAACAAAATAAGGCTGCACCTGTTTGGTTTGTCTTACTCCCTTTGCATGGTTTGGTTACATAACTGAACAGCAGTACTACTACTACTAACTTCCCGTCACTTTTGACACAATTTCCATGAATGAAGGAACATATTGAAGCAACAGATGAGTCATTATTTACCTTAGTGTTATCCTTTACATGTTGCTTTACCTGCTGCTGAGTCTAAGAGCAAACATTTTGGAGGTGTTCAGTGCAGCTCCTTGTGCTGCCTCCCCCGCCGCTGTCCATCTGCTGCTACTAATACTAAGCAGTTCTGCCCTCAGCACAAAGGCTCCCTCTCATGACAGCACAGGCCCGTGTTAAGGCTTCGCTTCAGTGTAGCATCCTTATCTTCTCACCCTTCTCAGTATGAATGGAGACGGTGGCAAGCAGAGCTGTTGTGGTTTCACTGTGTGTCTCAACAACATCGCTGCTTGTTACCACACAGCACAGCGGGGTTATTTTGTTTGCAATATGTTAATCATAGTTTGTTGTACATAGAAAGATGAGGAGCTGGGAATTGTCAACATTGCAGTGATTGTGATGCCTCTCTAAGTCTGCGTTCTTTCTACACAGATGAAAGGAGGCCAGTGTGGTTTCTCTGCTGTACAGCGGTTGTGATGGGCATCAGCAGTACAGCCGGTTACAGTCTGAATGACTCAGTAAAAGTGGCTGTGTTGAAGCCCGGATAGGAGGCAGCTCTGGCTCAGCGCCACACAGCAGTGCTCCTCGCAGTTTCAGCTGCTTTCAGAAAAGGCCCTTTACATAAAGTCTTATCTAATAGTCTCTCACGGGGGGGATCAGAAGCTTCTCTGGGGCATAACATCCTATTGTGCAGCCATGTAATCATTGTGTATATGCTGATGTTTATCACTAGTCATCATCCCCATATTGGACAGGATTAAGCATCTCACCAGATAAAAATATTACTTTTATGTTCCTATAATCAGAATTCCAGTCAGTTCTGTGTATTCATGCTGAATCGCTCAGGTCTCTGGATGTGTGATTTTTATTTGCGTTGACTGTGACCCGCCATGATGTCTTTGTTTCTTCACTACACATGCTATCTGTCACTTTGTTCAGCTGCTCCTGCTTTCAAGGCTTGAATTTTAGTGTGGGATTGTGGGTATTGTGCATAATTTCAGTGATTCCTGCAAATGTAGCTCCTACAATACGAGAAATTCCTGCACATATTTACAGCAATTTTAAACGGTGGGTGTGCTCCAGAACTTGACCGGCATGGTGCCGGATGGCCGGGTCTCCGTTCATTTGAACGATGCTACTTAACAAGCTGCATGCCGGGTGGTTATAACAACACTCGGCGTGCCTTCTCCCCCTCTCTACAATGCTGTGCGTTCCCTCTGCTGTTGCAGCGTCTCCTGGTAGCACCGGCGGGTACATGAACGAAGCCTGTAATATGCAATGTCACCAAGGTGAATAATGATCAGATTATCTGCCAGCTAACAAACGCTGTGACTCTCACAGCTGGTCGACCAGGAAGTCCCATTGTAACAGAGGTTTAAACCATCTTGTCTTTATTCATAAGACAGAGCCATTAATGTTCAACGCTGTACATCTGCTGTTAGAGTTGTGTGTGTGCTGCGACTCTACATCTTGCTTTTGCTCCTTATCAGTACATGGCACACAAATCTTTTGCAACTACCTTCCGGCTTTATCTCTGGAGACAGTTTCATGTTTAACTGTTTGTGTTCGGATTAAAAGAATAGTTTAGTTTAGAGACAAAAAAAAATCCCAGAGTGCTGAAGCGTGGGTTTGTATGTAAAAGATTTTACAGTGCAAATGTTCAAATTTGCATAATGCAGACCAGCTCAGTTTCACAGTGCAGGTTTTTTTTTTGTTTCCCTTCATGCACAGACAGAACAGCAGAACACGCCAGTGGTGGTTAGAAGATGTGGCTTTGAATCTAATTGTGTATATTTTTGTGGTGAGCTAGGCCACAGTTTTTGTGCAACTTCAGAAGTGGATACAGAACACAGTCTTCCACACATGTGAGTTTAACTGTTAGCACTTGGTGTAGTTGGAGGTGAAGTGTGCTCATGTGGTGCAATACCAAGAGAAAATCACAGTGACCCCCTGGCTAGTAATATTTGTCCTTTGGAAGATTGACCAGATGATTTACAACTCATTTAT